ACTCACCGGCTTGGGATAGAAGGTACGGTACCTCTTCCGTCTAGATAACAAATAACAACTTAATATATTTTTGGCAAATTATATTAGGTGTTATTAATATTTCATGCCTTTTTTAACGGGTTGATAAATTTAATAAAATAAACAAAACGTACATAGCGATCATCGATGTCCTTCTTGTTAAAGAAATCCGCCACATCGACATAACACTGTCGCTTAAGTTCTGGCGTATTTAGATACTTTCGTTCAACGGCCTGCCTCAGGTGGTCGTGGAAGAAGTTAAGCACTCCGTTACGATTGATTAGATTTTCTTCCAGTGACAAGTAGAATGGAGACCAAATTCTTGACGAAACCTTAGTTCAATATAAAGAATGCATTCACGATTAGTAAATGATATGTTTTATAGAGACAATTCGAATACATTTCTCTTCAGGGATGAAATGTTCCAAGATATACAGAATATTTAGCACACAATAATAATTTACTTATCTGAGTACAGAGTCAATTTAAAAATATAATTTAAATATGCATACTGAAATATGTTGTAGCCAACTTTTCTTCATGGTCCACTGATTTTTTTCGTAACCATATTTATAGAGTGTGACCCTTCCAGCATATCGTATAAGGTGGATTGATATTTAGGAGGCCCTCTTAAAATAAATAAATATAACGCGATGCTTGACCAGCAAGTCTCATTACGGAGCTTAAAGGTGTGTCTTTATTCTTGTGAAAAACCTCCTACGCTGTCACATGATTTGAGCTCAGGGGTTGGAATGTAAGCATCTTAACTCCAAGCTATAATCTCATTACAACAATTACCTATACTCAAAGTAACGAAATACACTTCAGTGTGCTGAGATTCAATATGTTGACACTCTATTACGTCATCATATATTATTCTTTCGAAGTGAGTCCCATTTTACTTTTTTTTTAGTCAACTTAATCAACTTACAATTCTAATTATTTATGAATAGCTGTCACACTCTATATGGAATAGCAGAAATATTATCTCTCATATTATAAGCCCCCTTTCAGAAATGTAACTGATTTGTGAATAATTTAGTTAAAGGGTATGTCAAAAACATATATACTTCTTCGGATGTCCATCTAATTAATTCCATATATATTCAAAAATAATTAATTAATTGGAATCTAGTGATGTAGGGAAATAGGACTTGACTTAAGTTATATATACTTCTTCGGATGTCCATCTAATTAATTCCATATATATTCAAAAATAATTAATTAATTGGAATCTAGTGATGTAGGGAAATAGGACTTGACTTAAGTTACCTTCAAATATTCTGTTAATTCAGCCTCTGTCATACCCTTGTTAGAACACCATATCGCCGTGGTGGTATCTCTCACAAGTCCTGGCCTATAAAAAAAAAAGTGCAATGTCGTATTAAAAACGAGGTGCC